GAGTGCTACTACTATAGGACTGTTAAGTGTGACGTCAACCATTTTACTTTAACCTTTACCTAACCTGACCCTAACCTATACTTTATGACCAGAGTTCTACTACTATAGGGGTGTGACATCAACCATATGAAAAAAAAATTTCCACACCCAAAATGAAAAGAAGTTTGAAAAAGATATTTCTTACTTTTTCTTCAACATGGGATTCGTTATCCAAAGTTTTAACTTCTTTTCAGGTGGAGGCATCATAAAAAATTTCCTTTTCCTTTCTCCCCCCTCCCCCCCCCCCCTTTTGTGAGCAGTTGGACCTGGAAATACCTCACAACTTAACAGCTCCATATGTTGATCTATATTTTATAGTCATATCTTAATTACTAGAGAATATCCTTTAAGCCTGGCTTTCACTATCAAGTACTTTTCCTTGTGCTTGCATTTATGGGCCACAGTAAAAATCAGGCTTAACATTAAAAGATAATTCTATTGACTCAATGACAGCCAAAGGTGAGAGAGCTGCGAGGGGTGTCATTTGTATTCCTGATACACGACCTCATCTGCCGTTGGAAGAACAATATTGCATCATTTACTGTACTGGTATGGGAGGTGGAGGCATCAGGCCCATTAATTGAGCAAGATCTTCTAATGGGGCCATTTCCTTGGGATCCAACGTATTAAATTCTTGATTGAAAATGACGAAGTTCATAAAGGCACAGTTCAGGTGTGTATGAAGTCCCATGTTAACAAAGTCTAAATAGTGTGTGAAAAATAGATGGACTAAAACGTGGAAGAGTAACTTTTCTATCTTCTTTACTGTTGCTACGAAATGACTTGGAAATGTCATACCTGGAAAATGAACAATAAATCGTGACTACAAAGAATTCAGGCTACAAGTAAAGGTAGGACTTTTGATGAACAACTTATTTGACTCCCACTACCATAATGCTTCACAAATTTTCTTTCTTATTTAAATTTGTATTCCCTCAGAGAATAGTAAGACAATTGGTGCTAATTAACTGAACAAAAGAAAGTGTGCAAGGGAGTCTGGTAGTAAAGGTTAATGAAGCTATCATGCAAACGTCCAATAGTTAAAGAAAGATAAAAGGTCATAATTATTTAACATTTTGTCATTCATCCATGCATCCCTCTCTCCCTAATTACTTTATCATTTATTTCCTCATTTACTTTTTCATTTATCTTATAAATCAATTATATAATTCATTATTTTTTCCATTCATGTATTCATTCTTCCATACATCCATCCTAACTTACTTCATTTCTAAATTTTTTTATTACTTTGTATCCATCCATCCATCCATCCATTCATCCACCCACCCACCCATTTATCCATCCACCCACCCATCCATCCATCCACCCACCCACTCATCCATCCATCCATCCACCCCTCCATCCATCCATCCATCCATCCATCCATCCATTTCTTTAGTGATTAATTTTTTTCCTTTTGTTCATTCATTCAGTACTTAATTCATTCATTCATTTATTCAACAAATTATTCATTCATTCTAAGTTTCACTTACCAAATTTTGAAGGGAAAATTGAATTATCATGGACATGTTTCTCGACATAAGTCATAACATAATCTATATATTGTGGTGCTGGGATTAATGTCTTCGTTTTCTTGCCTTTTTCATCATACCATAAATAAGTTCTAAAGCGATAAAAAAAATTATTTATTTAGTATCAGTTGGTTTGGCACCCGCTTGTTGAGTTGGAGGTGAATGGTTCATGCCGCAGCCAAACAAAACTCAGTTCATGGATCCAAGTTGAAGGTGCTGGGTTTGATTTAAAAATACCAGACATGACTGTTTGGTCACCTTCTCTAAGCAGGGCTTAAGATAGCAGCTAGTCAATTACTGGTCACTATTCATGGCCGAATTAGTTTATAGCTGGATCATAACTTTTTTGTAGCTCAACATTAATGGTCAAAATGACCAGCAAGGCAAAGTTTTGACCAAAAAAAGTTCCAATCCTGGCCAGATATTGTCTGATGACTGTCCGTTATCTTAAGCCCTGGTAATTAAATAAAGTTCATTTGCATCTATTTTTTTTACTCGAGAGAATGAAATGTTGTATAAAATGAGGAAACATGCACTTGGAAGCTAAAGGGGCCTATTGACGGTTTGAGTGTTTGGCTCTTTAAATATTGTGGTCTGAAGTAAGAAAACATGCCATTGGAAGCTAAAGGGGTCAGTTCATGGTTAAGAGTTGGTTCTACTTACAATGCTCCTGGAGCTGACATGACCGGACAAGTCGTTGTAGTACAAACTTCACTAATACATCCATATAATAGATTAAGTGTATTAAAATGACCTAAAGCTGAAAAAACAATTTAACAAAAGAATTGTCAATGAAACGTTTTCAACCAACATGGCCACAATATTTCTTTTGTTATTTCACTCCCTTCTAGAAATGATTGAAAACCAGCAATAGAAATGAGGCTTCAGGTGAGTAAATATACTAGAAAATAATTATTACATTAAGTGGTGTTAAGTGGTACACTGAGGAGCTATMGGGGGCTATAGCCTCCAATGATTTTGCTGCCGTGTTAAACATGTTGCAAATGCCCCTCAAAACAATGGAAATCAAATTTCCAAGGGTCTTGCTTTCTAAGTTTTTTGGGGGCACGAACCTACCTAAGATGCTCATTAACCCCCCAGTCAGAGTTATGCGCCTTGGTTCCCTGTGTGGGATATATATATACTATACATACTGTGTGTAGCAATCCATTCATTGTAGTCTATTCCTGGTGGAAGACTTATAATTTCTTTTATAACAGCTTTGTCCATCACGGAGTTATTCAGGTATGATTCTTCTAAATATGGCTTGTTTTCCTTCACTTCTTCTGTATTTATAATCTTGGTTTTCTTCCCTTTTCTGATAGTTAAAAAAGGAGTATAGATCTATGTTAGGGACCGATCGTTTATTACATCCCGGGAGGGAGGGGGGGCGGTGGAAATACTGGGGGGTACGTTTTTTAAAACCAGTAAAAATTGGGGGGTACATTTTTGTAATGGCTGAATTTGGGGGTGGGGGGTACATATTTAGTAGTGTTGAAGGGGGAGGGGTACGTCTTCCATTTAATGATTTTAGAGGGGGGCACGAATTTCATTTCATTTTTTTGCGAAGAAACCACCTCCCCCCTGGGACATAATAAATGATCGGTCCCTTATAAAAGGCTTCTACTCCAGGGATCTTAGGGGGAGGGGCTGGGGGTCTATAGCCCCTCCCCACATTTTGCTATCATCAACTAAATTTTCAAGTCTATGTCCCCCAGTTCCCAACACACCCACATATGCACCTCAAGTCCAACCCCAATAAATTAACAAAATGATTAACTACAGTAGCATTATAATAATAAGTATTGAAGACACCTTGCATGTGACATCAAAGCAGCTCAATTTGGAAGAAAAATCATTAGAATTTCAATCTCCTGTGAATTGGAAACCTATTGTTATGTCCTCCAAATTGAGCTGCATTAGTTCTGACGTGTTGCAAGGGGTCTATACTCTGATATTGAAGTACATGCCTCGAGCTCTTTTTTGTTGATATCTGACTGTTGACTGATTGATATGCAGAAAACAAATATTTCCAAGGGAAATTTGACTCATACCACTCAGTTTCCATAGTCTTTGGACATCAAAATGATCAACAATCTTTTGATTTATAAATTTGATATTTGATAATGAATCACCAATATGCGGTCGGAAGAGCCTTTCACACCTGTCTGCTTCTTAAAGATCGATTTAACTAACTTTACTTGATGCTTGAATTTATTTTTATGTTAAATTTAATTGAATTTGAATCTGAGCTTGAATCAAGGTCTTAAAATCTAATATTAAAGTCTAATATTAAATCTTCAAATTCATTAAACTAATATATTTTTTGGATTACGTCATTAAAGTTTCAACAATGACTAAAAAAAATATACTAAAATTTATCTTTAAATTTTAGCAAATTGTTTTTTTAAATGAAAAATTGACTGGTGGACAAAGAATTAATATAAATTTTATACCTTGATAAATAAATGATAAATCTTAATTAATCTTAAAATTAGGATTTTTAAAAGGATTTTTCTGAATTCCCAAATTAAAAAAATATGAAGAAATAGTAACAACTGGAAATTTTCTAGCTCTAGAATACCTAAATAATACTTAGAAAATACACCCTGTACGACTTTATATTAAGCAGTATAAATAAAGCAAAATTACTTATCTGGTCAAAAAAATTAAACAAAAAACATCAAAGGATATCAAAAGATTATATCAACTGGAAGGTTTAAGTCAGAGATTTCATCCAATAACTACCATAAAGACAGGACAGCTGTGGCTCAAATGTCTGGTGATATATTGTTTTGGTGGTTTGTGTTTAAAAGATGACCTCATAGAAGAGGAAAAAGTGAGTAAACAATCACCTGAGTGGATCACCTGATTTTGTAATTTATACAAACATGGATTAAATTATGTTAATGTATGCAAAGTCAGTCATGCTTCCAGAATATAATAAGATTTAAAGAAACAATTCTATAACTTAAAGAAACATTTAGCTACACTTTCTATTTCTTAGCCTCACTTCTCTCTAGAACAACTCCTGCATGCAATAGAAGTGTATAAATCAAATCACTGCACAAGAAACATCCACAGTAATTTATTACACAGTCTTATTCAAATATTCAGTTCTAGTATAATTTTAGACTTGAATATAACGTTTTGCATGCTGTGATTGTTCAAGCGACCAGTGATTGCGAAACGAAAATCACTGCATGGTTGATGGGAGGTTTGCCAACAGCAGAAGTAATACTTGTTTTTTTTATTATCCAGAATTTCGTCTTTTCTATATTCAATTCTAAAATTATACTAAAACATTTATTCCCCTCAGGCTCAGTGATTATCGTGAATATTTACCTCACTGCTCAAAGACTCGCAGCTCAGTAAATATTTCCCCTGATAGTCAATTTGTCTTCAGGGGTATGCATGAGATATAAAGTTTCAAGGTTTATAATATGAGACTTTGGTAAAAGCCTCCAGTCAAAAAAGGTACATCTGCAAGATGTTCCAGCAGAATCAAAGCACATTAGTGTTATGTAGTTTATAATTATCATTTAACATCATAACATTAATAATAATAGTAAAACCCTACTGGGATGTGAGTCTCATAGACATTATTATTAATAGACTTGTGAATAATTTTGTAGCTTTAAATTTCATAAACCAAAATAACCACATCACCCGATCATATCAATCATGGTCACTGTCAAATCTGAATTCTTGGAATAGGTGTTGCATTGCTTAGCAACCACTGTTACCATGTTCACCTCAAAAAATTATTAATAAGTGTGGCTGTTGTTGTTGTTATTATTGTTGTTGACATTATTATTATTATTATCATCATCATTATTATAGAATGCAAACAGTTCCTCTTATCACTCTTTTCACTGCTACGTGCTGATCGGGACAACAGTCACGATAGGGAAATAGGGCAATACACTGCCGCCAATCAGAGAATATTATAAAGGTACTGACCAATTTATTTGAACGATGGATGTGAATAATTGCCCGATTCCCCTGTCGCGACTGTTGTCTCGATCAGCACGTAGCAATGAAAAAAGTGGTAACTCAAGTTGGGTGTGGAAAGACGGACTGCATTTTAACAGTCTATTATCATCATCATCAACATCATCATCATTATTATGATTATTGATATTAATAATATTATTCTGTGTATATCAGAACCCCAAAAAATCCCTCAAATCAAGGGTGATCGAGACCTAACAAACTCTTCTCACATAGGACTTTCTCACTCGAGGCCATGTTGGTTTGAACAATAGATTATACTATGCGTGGCCTTGCATTCAAGTGTTATCTACAAGAGTATAAATTTATACAGGTCAAACAGGTGCTTATTCACATGAGAATAAACATGACCGCCCTGTGATAAGTCCAGGAATGTCCAGTGACCTTTTGGTCACTAAAATATTTCCTGGCACAGTGTCGTATTAGGGACTTTAAGATTTGCAAAATCTGCAATGGTGACGTCAACCGGAAGTGTAAATTACTTCATTTTGGGGTTTCAAGTCTTTAAAATCTGCCTTCCCTGTAAATGAGTTGCCTTTACTGACAATGTTTTTGAATGAAATCTTCTATGAATAGAACCCCAAAGAGAAATTACTTACACTTCCAGTTGACGTCGCCGTCGTAGATTTTGCAAATCTTAAAGTCCCTATTATATGAGTAGAGTATGCTGCTTGTTGGTTTTTTCCTATGCTAGGAGAAGCACAGGTTGGATAAATTAACAGTGGCATAGCAATGGCATATAGCAATGAGAGTGTCACTTCGCAACAATGCAGCCTTTGCTAAATTGCCTGGCACCGTATCGTATATGAGTAGAGTATACTGCTTGCTGGGCTTTCTCATGYGCTTCAAGGGTGTTTCTCTTAACTTCAAAGTTCCAATTCGATCATGATACAAGGGCCACAGATTTGTTAGCCACTGGCTATCAAGAAAATTATATTTTATCATAGTTTGAAGTCTTGTTTAGAGTGAAGTCACTAAACCCGTGCAATAGATATTAGGCTAATAAACATTGATAGATTCTAATTCCATTGTTTTCTTTTATAACTATTTCAGATTATTTCAAATATGATTTTAAACTTCTAAATACAAGATTATCGTGGTTAATTATTCGTTATAATTTCATTATTATATTTTATTATATGATCAAAATCGTTTGATTTATATCCATTGTTGTAGATGTAAACTAAATTATACTACTGATTTATCATTAATAAGTTTATTTACCAAACAATTAGTATTTTTCAACATCACATAGTTATGTTAACAATAACATCTTAATGTTTTTTCTTTCTTTACTACAAACGATAAATTAAGATAAAACTTCTTATTCTTCAAAAAAGCCAGATCTAGAAAAGATAACAGCATTTTAAGAAAATTTCGTTATTGAGCTTTAAGCCCAACACTCAATTTTCTATTGGAAAAAATCACGAAAACCTAAAATGTTTTTTTCATTTTGTTTATTTTGACAGGAACGTTTTTACGTGCAACAATAATATAATAAGCTTAATTCTCTACAACGAAAATTCTACAAATATTTTAGATAGTTATATAACTAATTGGAATATCGAAGGATCAAACAAGAGGAAAAGCGAAATTTTGAGATTCAGTAATGCTTATACAAACGATTTTATATTTTCGATATTTTGTGCAGTTGAAAGTGAAATATTTTTTACCAAATGATCGGCCAAATTTAACCTAAAAAATGGAATTCGAATATTCATAAAAACGAGACACTACACATAAATAATAGAAGGATAGTTTACTAGACGGGTTGATGATTTGATAGACAATTACTCTTATTATTTTTAAAGATTTCTTAAAAACAAGAGACGAGATTTTGTCCACGTCGTAATGATGTGGAAAGCAAGTTTGACCATTTGATGTGTCAATTCAACGAAGCGATCCATCAAAAACATCCCTTTGTTTGTCATCAATGACAATAGGACAATAGATCACTCTTGAATATATCTTCTAGGTCTAAGCTCCTTGGTATAGAGTTAAAACCTTTCTCATCTACTCAAAAAAGGACTTAAAATTTAAATTCGCCGCACCCAAATTAATAGAAGACGACTTGACAAAAATACACCTCAATGAAAATCTGTTCAATTCAAACTCACCCCATTAGCCATTCCATCGTGATATAAAGCCAGGACTAGTATAAGAAGTACTTCACACATCGGTGCAGTTCTYATCGGGTTTACATGTTGTTTGGTGACAGATAAATATGTTTTTTAGAGGATTTTTCTAGACCATCTTTTGATCTTGTACCAAAAAAAACTTTACGTTGTGATGACTTTAAGGCTACTAGTTACCAGGTCATGACCGTGGATATCCTCGTTTTGATGATGGGAAAATAAAAATCATTGATTATTTATCTTTTCTATCTTTCTTTATTCCCATTCCTATGAATTTTTCTTTTTCTTTACTTATATCTATTCTCTTAGTAATTTTTACTCACTTCATTCTTTTATCTTACCTTTTGCTTTTCATTTATTCATTCACTTCGAATTTTTCCCATGAATTTCCATTCTTACTTATTTTTATTTATT